TGTGTGTTCATTTATTGTCGCGATTGGAAAGACTGTATAACGCACATGGCAACATTTTAATATCGATCATTTGTCGAAGAAAAATTAAGTACGTAAATACGTATAATTACATAATATAAATTTATATATTTTTTTATGGGAATATAGCGGCAAACGAGCGGCGTAAAAAACGAGCAGGCGCCAGGCCTTAAGTGAAAAAAAAAAAAAAAAAAAAAAAACCGCCGCCCATGGACATCCTGAACACCAGAAAACACAAATGCGTTGCCGGCCTTTTAGGAAAGAGTATGCTCTCTTATTAAAGGTTCCCAGGTCGTAACGGTTCGGAAAGACCGCCGGCGGCAGCTGGTTCCACAGAGTGGTTGTGCGAGGCAGGAAATGCCCTGAAAATCGCGCTGTTGTGGAACGCTGGACATCGAGGTGGTGTGGATGATCTATTTGAACTTATTAGAGCCTATCTTAGTCACGTTATGTTATGTATTGTTGAATTCATAAACATTTTAAGATTACTTCAATGGTAATTCAGATTTAACCGTCCGTCCACTTTTAAAAATCTTTTTTTTTAGAAGTGGAAATGCAGAAAGAAATTAACCACGTCAAATTAACCACCAATTTAATCAAAAATGAATACCGGCTGAGAGTTATATTCCAAGACGACGATAACGTTGGTTTTATTATAAACACAGATAAATAAAATATTTCTATTTCTTTTAAATAACAATCGTTGGAATATTTTACATAGCTACATAAATACGTGTTCTATTTTTATACGCAGTGATGATGATGAAATGAGTGGAATTTAAGTGCTTGATTTCGATTAAAGCTTTTTTTATCCACCTTTAAAATTAAAATTTATTTCTGAATAAGTATTATTTAAAAAATATGTGTAGAGTTCACCGTAATTGGTTTGAAGTGACAGCTATGACAGAGATGGCGCAAGGTCAGTAATATTCTTATTGGAATCGTATTGTACCTTTTTAATACTAATTTTAATATAAAATCATCTGTAATTCTTAAGTTTCTTCATTTAAGCCACATTTATAAACATTAAGTCACATGGACAGACGCGAAAACGGGAAAAGTAAATATAGGCCTTAATATCTAGAGCGGGATATGACCTGATAACCTAATACCACAGTCTAGCAAACTTATCGATATTATAGACTGTGGTAGACCGTGGGGACTGTTTCGTTTTACATCGTTTTCTAAGGTTTTTTATTCTTTTCTTTCAGTTATATGGGTCATGCAAAGCATTATTTTCAACGCGGTATAAATTTAATAAGTAATAATTTTTTTTTTTTTTACTTTGTTCTTTCTATAATATTAACAAGAAACGTGAATTCGTGGACAATCAGTTCACCGATGCGATGTTTCCATTAATCAGATATCTTTCCATTAACAAGCTGTAAACACCGCATAAATACAGTCGGACACCCATGAGGTCAAAAACACAGGATCAATCAAGACAAATTTTGTACGTTCATTCAAACGCTAAATTTACATTTCTATTCATATTGAAACCCCTACCATTGTTAAATATATACATATACTAGCGGACCCAACAGACGTTGTCCTGTACACGATTAATGTCCTTATATCCGACAACAACTTATAGATGAAAAAAAAAACAATAAAAACGAATTGTGAATCTAAAACATTCTCGAATAGACCTGAAGAGACACAAAAAATTTCATTAAAATCCAGCCGTTTAGGTGGAGTTCAGTGATACTCACGTACAGAAGAATTATTATTATAATTATATGTATAAAGAATATATAGATTAATTATATATATAAAGATTTAACTTTGTGGGAGTGGTGTAAGACCACACAAGTCTTCGCTGTTGCACGAATGTGAATCCGTCCGGGACATTTGCAACACCCCATGGTTGCAGATGCGTTGCCACCTAATCGTAGAAGTATAATACTTCTACTTCACGCCAATTCTTCCATGTGAGGACGGATAGTTCCGCGGATAGACATGCCCATTAGTGCAAGGGTGAAGACTGGTGGCCGTACCAAAGTTAGTATCAGTTTTCACTTCGTCCTTCACTTCTCGTATTGTGAATTATTTCTTCACAACTGAAGTTATATTCACGTATATGTTTTTTTTTTTGCAATTTACTATTAAAGCAGGAATTTTGTTTGCAAATAACTATTGAGATCGTCAATGAGTTCTAAAATCGGACAGCTAGAGTACTCTGAATTGAACGCGAGCGTCTAGACACTGAGCCTGCAGTATGTAACTCAAAATAATGAACTCGTTTAGTTCAGCACCAATATATTATATTTAGCTTTCTCTGATGATCAGAGACTGAGACTCGACAGAAACGAAGTTTCAGAAACATATTCCTTCATATTGTGAACATCATTACACTCGAATTAACAATCTTTGAGACTGGTGTTTGGCGGACCTTCAACTAAATCTAAACGCGGGATACAAAACAGAAATCGTACAGATAATAAAACGAAATAGAAATGTAGCCACTGGGACGTTCAGTTGTTTCACAAAACATAAATTATTTCAGTTGTGCAATAATGGCATCGTATACAACGAGTGCGTCTTTTATATTATTGGGATGTTTATTGTGTTTTCCTGTACAGTTTAGATTATTGTTTCTAAATTCAATAATCTAAACTGTTTGTGATTTGTTATCATAACTGTAGCCTTTTAGACATTTTCTGTTCCGGTTCGTGTTTGAAATAATATTTGTGCTAGTACGCCGTGATAGCTTAGTTTTTAAACGGTTTTATTTAGCTCGACCCGTACGGAATTTATTTGTTTATTTATTTGGGTCAAAATTAGAAATTTAAATTTAAGCACCTTCCCGTTGTCAGATTGATCTGAAATTTGGTACACAAATTTAATTTAGATAACAATACAATATTGTAGTTTTCAGTGCACATAAAATAAAACCGTTTAACTTTAAAGTTTTTAAACGGTTTTATTTTTATTTAGCTTAGCCCAACCCCAGTTTAAATCTACTTTATATTGTAATATATTTTATTTTGTAATAAATGTAATGTAATATGTATGATTAATAACCATTTTTTTAATAACGAAAATCAAAACCGACTTCAAATATCTCGCTCTGTATTCATTTTATAATTGATTTTCAGGAGTTCCCTAAGCATCTCATCACTAAGAATTTCACACCATTTCAAACCATTCTGATCATTAAGAAGATCATTCTGATCAATTCAGAGATTTTAACCGTCCTTTTGGCAACTGAAATGAAATTTTAAAAAGGCCATTTGACAGCTGATTAGTTAGTTAATTTCTTTAATTTCTACGATTATCAGTGTCTTAGAAACCAGGCGTACGTCAAATTCGTTATCCATTGGCCGTGAATACGCTGGGAGTCACGCTCAAGAAGATTCCTTCAAATCGGGCCACCCATTCCAAATATAGGAACGTACGCACGGACAAACGGAGATGTCTTTTATTACGCGTGTATGACTTTCGAAGCGATCGGCGGCTCGATTGCGCGGTGTATCTTTGGAAACGGAAGCCGAGAGCGTCGCTTACTCATTACATCCGATGCGAAACGTTCGCCCCGAAATAGACCGACCTCGGGCTAATGAATCACGTTTGCATCGGTGTCCAGGGTGACTGTGTTACTGGGGCTCGGCGCGCCGGGCGCATTTATTACGACTTCGATTAGTTAATTGTTTATTACCTTTTTATTAATGAGTAGGTGGCAGTGGAGACGGCCAATCATCAGATTAAGTGATAACTACTGCCCATGGATTTGCAACGCTCGTAAGGTTGCAGATATGTTGCCACCTTTTAATGAAGTCGGCCCCGGGCTTCCCCGAACGGACCTGCCCATCCGTGCAACAGTGTAGACTTGCGTGACGCTACCTGATCCTGATGAATTAATCCTTCAGGTGACGTCATCATCTGAAGGATTAATTGTCGACACCAAAATACGTACAGGTAATATTTTCATTTGAGCATTATGCTACTTTTTTATTGTGCACTAGCTGTTGTCTGCGCAGGGTTAGAAGGTACTTGGCGTACCTTATTTTCTAAGGTCCTATCTATCCTTATAACAATGTTCATCAGAATTGGATCTGCGGTTTAGTCGTGAAGGCGTAACAGTTACTTTGAGAGTCCCTTGTATTTTTATTATTTATAGCCTGTGTTATTCTGACGTATAAACTGTATTATTATAAAGTTTTATTAAAATCCGTTCAGTTGTTTTTGCGTGAAAGCGTAACAAACATCCTTAGATCCATAAATTCAAACTTTCGAGTTTGTAATATTAGTGCGGATAGAGCCGAAAATAAGTAAATGAAGGCCCGAGCTATCTCATGTATTTTGGTGAACCACGGGAACACTATTTTCTGACCTTCGGATAATTTCTTCCAAACTGACGCTTTCGCTAAATTAAGTTTACGAAATAGATCTCGAAAACTCATAACGATGTTAGTAAGATAATTGTAAAACCCAAACATTTATTCGTCAGTCATCAGTTATTTTTGTAGTAAACATTGTTGTCGAGCGTAATTATGAGTCAGAGCATCTCATTGCCATTGATTGAGCAATCGCTATGTTATAAAATTACGTTACGCTGAATTTCGTATGTGCGTTCGTGCCGGCATCTATACTGGGGATGACACTACATAGCAAAGTCAGAATGTTATACTGACTGGCTAAGTTAACTAAATAATTTATCTGCTCATGAAAAGTGCGATATCTTTAGTAATATAGTAACAAAGCACATAGCTGTGGTCGTACAAATTATTAATTGCTATCTTAAGTGAAATCTGCAACATAGAATACCGGCCTGACTAAAGTTTACGTTTGTGTATATATATTGTGTATATATATTTGTATGTATATTGTGTATATATATTTGTGTACATTCTTCCTGGTGAGAGAGGTAGTCGAGTTCCAGTCTTTTAACAGCCGACAACCATTCAGTCATTGTCGTGTTGTCGATGTAGATAAAATAAAATACAACATGGTTTTTAATAAAAAAATCATTATCTTTTAAGGATCAGTGCAACTAGACCCCGGAGAGCCAAGGTCAGGATCTGGCACTGGTTCCGCGGGTTCAGGGTACGAGAGCGACGCTCGCAATTCCAGCTCCGACGGCAGCCTCGACCTCAAGCCTCAGAAATACGGCATCCTCATCAGAAAGGTATCGTGACTGTGAATAACCTCATGTCTCCAGCTTTATTAATTCGTCTAGGCGTACGACTATAAGTCTTCATATTTACTTCGATCAATTGTTTGACGCAAATATCCATTTCATCAACTTCATGTTCTAGCATTCAATTTTCAAAGGATGCCAATGTCCTAAGGTGAAGACAGCGATATGTGAGGTTTTTAACCCATTAAAAACTGCCCTGGTTGCCATGTGTCTTCTTTTACTCTGACTATGAATAGATGTGTGAGATTTGTCTTGAGACTTTGTGACGCATTTAAGTGGACGTAGAAATTTAATCTCTAGGTAGATGGAGACAACGTCCAGTTTGTCGTGTGCCCGACATGCGGACACGAGACTCAGCTGCCGCCAGGGGGAATCCCGGATCTCCCTCTTAACTACGTGCTGCTGAGGAAGATGTGCCTCGCCGACAATGATGATATCGGTATCCTGTGTGATCTATGTGACAGTGACAACAAGGTAAACTTGAAAAAGTACCATATGCAATCCTACTTCTTCTTTATCTTTACCCAATTTATTTTGTAACCTCAAAGATGATGCCCTCTAAGCACTTCTGCGCCACACCTTACGGTTCTCTTGTATGTTGTGTTACTCGTTGTAATGTCATTCTTAATTTTTCGTACCCAGGTTATTCGTTTCTTTTTTTTATAACGACGGAAGACACAACTCTCATAGACCTGAGTTAATCTGTAAATCGTACACAATTAAGTCATTCCCAAAAATTTTACTAACGTTGACAATTTTATGAACCAGCAAAAACATAGTTATATTTTTAAATCTTTATTAAGATTAAACTAAATAAGATGTTAGTTGCAAAAATACGTCCATTAAATATATCAGGCCATAAATATTATTAATGTTTCTCCATCCAATCAGCCTTCCGGCATAATGTTTACAATATTGTAAATCTTTCCTTTCGCCATCGTTTCAAATGGTGTTTTATTTTTGATCGTTAACAACATCTTACCTACAACAAGTTACTCTAAGAAATTAATAAAAATTTCAGCTACTTCTAGAACTTCCGGTCATAATGCATATTTAAATGTAATGTAATATTTGTAAAAATGGGTTCAAGGATAACAATTATTTATATTCTGATCTTGATAATAAATAAAGTATATAAAATTATTTTACAGATTATAATGAGAGTTTTGTTATGTAAGAAGATGGCAAGATAGCCGCCGCCCTGGACATTTGCAACATCCGTAGGGTTGCAGATGCGTTGCCACCTTTTAATAAAGTGGGCCCCGGCTACCTCACTCAGCAGACGAAACGCAGAAGTATAACATTTCTTGTGAGGTCGTGGTACTTCCCCGGACGGACCTGCCCATTCGTGCAACAGCGAACCGTTGCTTGTAATGTAGTTTACTTTAACTGATGTTTCAGTCTGCCATTAAAGCTTCATCGAACTCAGAACTTGTGAGACAGTAAATCCCACGAGCTTGATAGGGCCCTCTGGCTTGGGTAGGGCCGCGCATGTGTTCGTGCGTGCGAGCAAGCAATTATTTTTCTCCGTGATGTATTACCAGCGTCAAGTTTTAAATAGACACGTGACGAATACGACTTTCAAGGAGAAGTTATTAAACACGACACGTGGTTCAAGCGCGTCCATTCCAATTCACGATCGATTACCGAAAAATGCCGTTAGTTATGTGACGCTACATTTGCCTTTTATGCGTATCCTTTGTGAAGGCGTGTTCCAGCATAAGAAAGCTGTTACAACGCTGTGATTTTCCAAGTGTTTGTTTAGAAGAAGTCTTTGTCTTTTTTATAAAAATGGATGGAATCTATTCTATGGTATATATATCTAGTCTTTTAACAGTTATTTATATAATACTGTATTCTACGTTCAAAGTGCACACAAACTGTCACACCTTCGAATGTGCATTCTATGAATTAGAATCCATGAAACAGGGCTGCAGGAATGTTACATTGTAGAAATCGAAATCGGAATGAGATGAACGAACAGTCTGGTAAATTAAATGGATTTATTAGACGGCGTTTAATAGGTGTATTACACGTAAATGCGATTTTTTTCTTGTATTTAAGCCTAAGAGGTTATCTACACTAGGTTAACCTTTTTTTTACAATTTCACACGTTTAATCATCAAGTATATTTATATACCAAAAAAGTTAATTTTAGTGAATACAATTTTACGTCTATAGCTATTCTGGTTTTAGATCTGTATAATTACATATTATTACATTAGCATTAAATATTTCAATTTTACATTATTATTTTCCCAATGCATTCATTTATTCTCAAACATGAGTAAATGAGGGTCAGATTACCATTTGCGGATGTATATAGTCTAGCATCTAGGAATTAAAACTTATTCATCTTCAGATATTATATATTTATTCTGTACGTGTGTATGTCACTGAACTCGTAAAAGGCTGGACCGATTTTAATGAGATTTTTTGTGTGACTTCAGGTCGACTCGAGAATGGTTTAGATTAACAATTCGGTCCGCTACATTTGTTTAATTTATAAGTTTTTGTCAGATTTAAGTCGTGTACGCTAGATTCATACATGAAAGCACAGGGAAACACACTACTTCGCTTTCCACGCAGGCGGTGAGCCGTTGCAGTCAATGTCTGGTGAGCGTGTGCCCATCCTGTGGCAAGGCACACGGCAAGCAGAGGTCCACCTCCAGCCACTACCTGGAGCCGATAGAACCCCCGGCGAAGTATTGCACCCAGCACCCCAGGTCGGAGCTCAGCGTTTACTGCGCCACGTGTCAACAGGTGAGCCGTTATAGAAGCAAAAGATGTGTTCTGGGTTACCTCAAATAATTTTAAGAGTTTCATGCCCAAAGAGTAAAACGGGACCCCATTACTAAGACTCCGCTGTCTGTCTGTCTGTCCGTCTGTCACCAGGCTGTATCTCACGAACCGTGATAGTTTGACAGTTGAAATTTTCATACATGACATTGTATTTCTGGTGCCGCTTGAACAAGAAATACTTAAAAACCGAATAAAAAATATTTAAGCGGGGCTCCCATACAACAGACATGACTTATCTTAAGGGTTAACTTAACTTTAAGGGCTGACTTATCACGTGAACTGCAGTGAAGGGAAACATCGTGAGGAAATCTGCATATTTTCTAAATAATAACAAAAAATAATTTCGAAGATATGTGAAGTCCGCCTTTGCCCAGCAATGGGACATGTATAGGCTGTTAATTGGTGCCATCTAGTGTGCATCCTATATCCCATAAACATGTCCAGTCTAGTGACGTTCCCGCCGATTGGCATGGCGGCGGTAGTTTTGGCTTTGAACGAATGAATGATGTTCTACTACGCAATGCTAGGATTAAATTTTTCTCTCTAAACTTAAGAAGAAAATATTTATAATGGAAGTGTTTTAGGAGGCGAGATCAAACTAAAACTTCCTAAACGAGAAACATGTTTCGGTTTGAATTTAAGTGAATGATGATTTTTGCGGGTTTTGAATTGCTTTAGGAGTATTTTTTCTAGCAGCTGGTAACCCTGGTCACGGCAGGTGGTGTGCCGCGAGTGCGGCGTGGTGTCGCACGGGGGCCACGCGCTGGCGAGCGCGGCGCGCGCGGCCGCCGAGCGCGCCCGGCTGCTGCGGGACGCGTGCGAGCGCGCGAAGCTGGTGCCGGAGCACGTGGGCAGGGTGGCGGGCGCGCTGGACGTGCACGCGCTGCAGACGGACGTGAGTCGAGGCTGAGCGAGACAAAGCGGCCGAAGTGGAGGTCGAAGTGGAGAGGTTTCATTCTGCGGGCGGACGTGAGCCCAAGTCGAGGTTGAGCAAGGTCAGGTTGAGCAAGGTCAAAGCTACGAAGGCCGAAATCAAGGTCAAAGTAAAAATATTTTATCCAGCACAACAGGAGCTCTCACCTCTCAGTTTTTACGTGGTTGGACGCTGTCGTTTAACACTATATTTTTGATGTTGCACTATAGATAGTAGGTAACTCTACGCTCATAATCCTTTTTATCGTACTGTGGTAGGGCTACGCAGCAGCTTCTGTTGCACGAATGAGCAGATCCGCCCAGGAAAGTACAACAGCCTCACAGACGATTAACTTATTCTTTGATTAAACTTATTCTTTTCGTCTGGCGAGTGATTCGCTTGCTCACTTCCCAATGTTTCACATAAAAGAATCCGTTGCGAGTCTCAATTAGCCTTGGTAATCGTTCAAACATCTTCCCATATAGATAATCAACTCTATACTATCAGTCCGAATGATGCGTCAGCCGAATAGTGCTGCGAGCCAAGCCTTAGTGTTGCCAATCTCAGTGCTGTCAGGCCGAGGCGATGCGTCAGCCTAATACGTCAGCGGGTCAAGCCCCGGTGGATCGGCAGGAGCAGGCGTCCGCCGTGGAGGCGGAGGTGCGCGCGTGGGCGGAGCAGTACCGGCGCGCGGTGGAGGCGCACGTGCGCGCGCTGGCCGGCGCGGCAGCTAGGGCGCGCGCTAGGCACCGCCAGCGCAACGAGCGCGCCCACCGCCTGCTGCAGCAACGCGCGCAGCACGCGCACCAGGCTGTGCGCTTCGCCGAGGAGGTGGGTGCGGCTGCACCGCTTTTAGGAGCAGTAAGCCGAGTCAGGAAGAGAGCCGTGATAGCTCGCCTTTAGTTCAATATACTCGAGCAACCTGAGTTCGATCCCCGGTGCTGGCGCCAATGAAATTTTTAACTTTAAGTGCTGACTTATCACGTGCTCCGCGGTGTAGGAAAACATCGTGAGTAAACCTGCATATTTTCGAAATAATAACAAAAACAAAATTATTTCGAAGATATGTGAAGTCCGCCAATCCGCAGTGGGGCCGCGTGGTGGACTATGCCTTGATACCCTCTGTATGGAGGAGGCCTTTGCCCAGCATTGGGACATGTATAGGCTGTTACTTTACTTTTTACTTTTAAGTCGAGTCAGGAAGAGGTGGGTGCGGAACCCAGTTGTACCCAGTTGTTTCTTTCGGGGTGTCAGGCAGGCTCGGCGGCTGCGACTCTTTTAAGGACGGGAAGACCCGGGGCTACGGTGGATTGATACGTGTTCCCGCATCCCGGGCCGATGAGGGAGGCGGGTGCAACATGGGCCTCATCAGGTACTCGTTTCTGACCGGAGTTCTCACGTGCTCTTGCCACTCCCCTGATTCGGTGGTAGGGTACCGATAAATGACTTTTCCCACGTAAAAAAAGGAAGCGGGATGACTAGCTCAGCTAGAAAGAGGTGGGTGCAGAACCCAATTGTGTTTTAGGGGTTCCAATAATTTTACATTTTGACCCCCCATATCGCAGCTGCCACTTAGTACTTCACACTCACATATTACTGCCGTGCTAGAAACCATCAGTCCCGAGCGAGGGAGACGCCTTCAGGCAATGAGCGAGAGGTCCTATTGCAGCTGCTGTGCGAGGGGCGCGAGGCGGAGCTGCTCTCGCTGAGCGGGCCGGTGCTCCGGCGGCTGCAGCGGCTGACAGAGCTGGGCGCGTTGGCCGAGCCGCCGAAGCTGGCGCTTCGCTTCGCGGCGGACGCGCGCGCCGGCCCCGCCTCCGCGCTTTGTGGACGCCTCCTCACGCAAGCGCCCGACCCCGATAAATGCCTCCTTCACACCGAAGGTATGTCCCCTAAGGCATTAGATATGACCACCTGGCATCAATCACGACTATTGCCAGGATCCGCCAGCCTTATAAGACGATACTGTAAGGCGAGCTTGCCGTTGTGACTAGTCCTTATATTTATCCTTACTTATATAATAAACACGAAAGTTTGTATGTATGGATGGATGTTTGTTACTCTATAATTTATAAAGTGTGAATTGTCCAAAATTTGGTAATGATTAGTGTCAACTAAGAAGGAAAAAATTCAGCTATTTGCGAGATATTCTGGTAAAAAATAATTCTTTTAGCCGCGCGAAGCTACAGAATACCGAGATATCGCTTGCTCATTTAAATCTGAAAGCATCAGTCCGGAATATCATCACTGTATGCGACGAACAAACTTGTCACCCGCAATCGGACAATGGTGCAACTTTTGCCGTTAAAAAAATTATTAATCGTAAGTCATAGGGCAAAAGGAAATAGGTCGACTCTATCTACTATATATTCTAATATACAAGGCTCCGACCATTACGCAACCAGCTGTCCTTTATTGTATTTATATTTATAGATTGTATACGATCCAGGCCTTCAAGACCTTCACGTGGATTGTGAACACGAAGCTATTTTCGAGCTGCGCGACAACAACGGCGAAAGGATCTGGTGTGGTGGAGAGCAGGTAGGCTAGCACTGCGACCGAGAAATCTGGTTTTATATGAACTGCGATAGGATATTGTTTCTCTCATAAACCCGGTCATCTGGTTTTATATGAACTGCGATAGGATATTGTTTCTCTCATAAACCTAGACAAAGCTAACAGCTTAGATTTGAACAAACATCAACCTTTCCCTCAACTGGGACTTAGGTCGACTACAAACGTCGGAAACATGGCACGGGTTTCGCTTCAAAACGAGACGAAAGCACTGTGTTATTGACTCGTATGACAGTTACGAACCGAAACAACTGTGGCTTTTTAATGTACTCCGATGAAATAATTAATTGACTGGTAGTTAGAGATAGAAAGGCGTAACTTCTCTTCGTCTGTGATAGCGGTATCAACAGATTTTACCTAATATAAACATAACCACGATTCAGATTAATTGATTAGGTACGGATCTAGAGTTCTGATTACCTAGGTTTTGAGGTTATGTTTCCAAAATAACTTTAAAAATACCGGGTTTGAAAAAAAAAAACAACAAATAGGGCGAGATATAGATTATTTACAAAGCTTTTACAATAACTTTGTTTTAAATGCAATTCTAGATACATGGAACATTCGCCTTTGAAGAGGGTCATATATTGAAGTTTGTCGTAGGCTTAATATTAAAGCGGAAGGCGACGCATATTAGCTCCATGGCTACTACCGTCCACATTCGTTACGACTTCAAAGTCAAAGTATCTTTATTCAATATAGCCTTAACTTAAGCTCTTATTTAACGTCAACAAAAAATCTACCGCCGGTTCACTAAACTAGACAGGTAGGTGTGCAGGTGCACAGAGAAGAACCGGCAAGAAACTCTGCGGTTTTGTTCTTATTGTTATTTTGTTTGTTTTTGTACTTCGTCTGCAGGTGGCGGGGTACTTCAGGCGGCGCGACTCAAGCGCTCGACCCCAGAGTGCGCGCGTTTTGGACCACAACGATGGCTCTTACGCCGTCCGATTCACTCCAACTGCCCCCGGCGCCTACCTCCTGGCCGTCACACTCAACAATACCCCCGTCAAGGTACTTCTTCTTCCCCCTGCCCTAATCCCACAGACGCAGTCAGTTCAACATGTCCTTTCCTTCCACTTCCCTCTATCAGCCGCCATCTCAATACTCACCCCTTTTACAGGCATATCATTCTTCAACAGTCTTCCTTACTAATCACACTCTACAAACAACAGTGTTCACTGTTGCACGTATGGGCAGGTCCGCCGGGGTAGGTACCACGACCTCGCAGAAAACGGCGTAAAGTAGAAGTATCCATGCACTTCTACATTTTGTCTGGTGAGTGAGGTAGCCGGGGCCCACTTTATTTAAAGGTGGCAACGCATTTACACTAACACTACGGGTGTTGCAAATGACCATGGGCAGTGGTTATCACTAAATATCAGGTGAACCGTAAGCTCGTTTGCCACATTCTCAAATAAAGAAAAGAAAAGAAATTCCCACTATACGTATAAGACACTAATAAAATCGCACCTTATAATCTTTCTTTTGTGTGATAAGTTGCCAAGCGAGCAGACGGTTCACCTGATGTTAAGTTAATACCGCCGCCCATGGACATCTGCTACACCCGAGGGTTCCAGATGTGTTGACAACCTTTTGAAAATTGGGCTCCGGCTACCTCGCTCACCAGACGAAACGCGAAAGTATTATACTTCCACTTTACGCCGGTCTTCTGAAAGTATAATAATCTTGTAAATATGTATGAAACTCAAGGCGACTGAATTCACAAACGCAGGGGAGTCCGTTCCCGTGTGCAGCGCGCGTGTTCAAGTCGCACTCGGGCCAATTCCACTGCTGCACCTTCTGCTCGAGCGGCGGAAGGCGGGACGTCACCTGCGGCTGCGGTGCCACCATGGCCGGCGGTTACAAAGGTGAGGAAATCTCTAAAATGATAAAGTGTATTTCTGTCTTGCGCTTAGGGGGAAGAACCTGACTTGGGGCTTTTGTGATAGTTTCTTGGAAGCTAGCGACTTGTTTAGTTAGCAAGATACAAGAGAAAATTACACAACATACTCGTATATCATGGTGTTCTGATTATCTATATATACAGAATTTCAACGTGACAACTTATAAAAGACACTTTATATTGTGCATAAAATTGCGAAAGCTTTTTAACCTAGTGGTTAAAGCGTCTGGGCACGAATCCAGAAGACATGGGTTCGATCCCCGCAGTGGTGAAAAACATTTCGTCCATTTTTCCTACAAACTTGAGGGTATTGTTTACGGAGCAGTCGCTGCAAGCAGAATTTTAATTTTCACCACACTTTGCCTTATTCGATAAGTGAGATTACAAATAGCCTATTTTAGCCGGGGCCCACTTTATTATAAGGTAAGGCGACGCATATGCAACCCTACGGGTGTTGCAAATGTCAACGGGCGGCGGTTGTCACTTAACATCAGGTGAATCGTCAGCTCGATTGTCACCTTCTCACACGCGGCTGAAAGCGTAATATTCAGACAGAAAGACAGATTAACATAAAATATGTATATACATTATAGCCTATGTGTTATTCTGATGTATAAGCTTTATTATTGTAAAGTTTCATTAAAATCCATTCAGTAGTATTTGCATGAAAGAGGAACAAACATCCATCCATACATACAAACTTTCGCCTTTATAATATTAGTAAGGATGTTTTTGTTCATTTATCTACAAAAATGTATAATTTAAAGTTACATCCTGAATGCCGAGACTAGCACTAAAATTATTCGAGATTGCAACTGATCCCTCTGAGTAGGTTGCGGGCACGGCCACGCCGGCTGGCCGGGCGCGCGCCACTGGTCCTGTTGCGGCAGCACGCGCCCGCACGGCCACTGCGCCAACCAGCCGCCGACACAGCGCCTCTACCAGTTCTCGCTGTGACGGCCCACTGACCCCAAAATCCGAGAAATCCTTAGCTATCCCCTCACTCAGTTCTCTCTACTCACACTGACCCAATATCTGAACTGAATATCCCAGAAATACAGGGAGGATTTTCTAAGTATATCCATTTTTTTTATTAAATTCTAGACATAAATAATGTTATATAAAAAATGGTAAATATTTAAAATAACATTCATTTGAACTTATCTCAAAAAGTGCGTGATTATGGGCAACTCATTTATTTTACGCGCGATCATTCATAACTAACACGCACACAAATTCGTTTCAAAAGTATACGACGCATTTATGAATGACTACCGTATTGTACCGCAAAAAAAGTTTGTTTTTATTTTAATAAATGATTATACTACCGAGTCTGAACCTCTTGTGTGAATTTGGGCACCTTTAGAAAAGCCACCCTGTATAAGATATTCAAGACATGCTTTACACCTCTAGATATTCCCTTAACCAGTTCTCTCTCGGAGCGCTGATCCCAGTATGCGAGAAATATAAGACATGCTAGTACCTCTAGATAACCCCTTAACAAACTGTCTCTCAGCACAGTAACCAATATCCTAGAAATATAATACATTTAAAACGCGTTATATAAATATAGATGACCCCCCTAACTGACTGATTAGTGACTCCTTTCCCTGGTTTACTATCTTCCTTCATTATACCTACTCTCATCCTAATTAAATTCCTTCGGTAATGTGATAATAGCGTTAAGCGCTTAAAACCAAAAAGAGAACTCTTCTAGATTAGTCGATAAGATCTCCAATCCTTGTAAAAACTATACCCACCGAATAAACGTTATTAAAATGTTAAAATGTACTGTTTCAATTAAAAATTTGTCCAACTCCGAGATTATTTACGTGGCATTTAATTCGTGCTGATCATAAATGATAAATCGAGAATCCGAGAATGCACTTCAAAAGGTTTTTTTACTTTAATTATATCTAAATCATCATCATCATATCAGCCGTAGTACGTCCACTGCTGAACATAGGCCACCCCCATTGACTTCCGGCCTGCATCCAACGCGTCCCTGCGATCTTGGCTAGGTCGTCCGTCCACCTTGTGGGAGGCCTTCCTACGCTGCGCTTGCCGTCACGTGGCCTCCACTCGACTTTTTGCCCCAACGGCCATCGGTTCTTCGAGCTATGTGCCCTGCCCATTGCCACTTCAGCCTGCTGACTCGCTCTGCTATGTTGGTAACTCTAGTTCTTCTACGGATCTCCTCATTTCTGACTCGATCACGTAGAGAAATGAAAACTAACTCGAGAGTATACCGAAGATATCCCGAACATCAGCCTGTTCGAGATTAGGATGGCCCTGAAGCAGCTTAAGAACAACAAGGCGGCGGGTAAGGACGGAATTACATCAGAGCTTCTGAAAGCGGGTGGAACACTGGCACTGAGTCCTTCAGAAGCTCTTCAAATATCTAAATAATCATTGCTAATTGAAACTGAAATAAAAATAAATATACTCAAAAACTTTTATAAAACAATTTGCTACTATTATTCAAATCAAATTACATATTACGTTCGGCACATGTGAATCATTTTGTTAGTAATGACTTGGTTTTTACGTTCGGCCGCTAGCCTCGCGCGTTCTCTTCGAAAACAAACACCCAGACCTAAAACTATTATTTTTGGATCAAACAAATAACTGCCCCTTATTAGAATCGAACCCCACGACCCCTCGCTGCCGAAGCTAACAATTGCTCCACCGAGCCATCCATTCACCACTATCACATATTATTATTATGTTTAGAACTTAATCTGTCTTATATTGTAATTTTTATTTAATACAATAAATGAGTTTAACTTCCATAGAGGCCATGACTATGAGAATTATAAGTACTGTGTATGACAGTGTTATCTAAGATAAAGATTAATCTTTATATTGACATCTGTAGTGTCATATAATATAGTAATCGGTAATAAAAACTCACAGTCCATTTCACCAGTAGTCTGAAATAAATATTACATTTGTAATAATATTTTATTTTGTAAATAATGAAAAGAAAAGTCAAAAATTAACGTTGTAATATTTTGTTCTTACATAACTATATTCAATATTTAGAATAAATATGTAAAGTTGAATAGAATACACGCAGTTTTTTCAACTTTGCAATGATGAAGAAACTAGTTGTGGACATGATGAAACGAATTTATAAACTGAAGAAGTCGAAGGGAAATATAGTCACAGGATATATCAAATGAAATACAATGTCATCCAATTCATAGTATATTTTAATTATAAACAATTATTGCTCAAATTTCGTTCGACTAATACAACATTGACATCTATAAAATCCGTAAAAAGGGACCCCATAAATGATTTTCTTGTAAAAATTGATCCCAGATTGATAAAACTTGAGATGTATCGAATCTGCTCTCTGTTTTTCTTCATCAACATGCTTAATTTGAACAAAGATATTAATGGAGCATTTAATCCTTAAAAAAAATAAATACAATTTATGCCTAACACAAAGTAACATAATATATTCAACTAAATAAATTAATTTTCAAATAAGTTCAAATATCAAGAATGCAATACATTATAGTAAACCATTATAGTAAACAGCATTTTCGCACAATATAATGTTTGATAATATACCAATGGCATATAAACAAAGATCAATATTTAATTTACCACGGATTTGAGATGCATGTAGATAAGAAAATATTTATAAGTGGATATGGTCACAAATAATGAAATCAAAAATGCATATTATTAACATACAAAATTCCTTTTTATTGACTATTGTCAGATTCTTTTTATTTGTATTCAATGATTCCAAGATAATTAACAATTTACTAAAAATGTCTGAGCTGTCCACCATACCTAACTATTTCAACTGTTTTGTTGATACATAATAAGTCTTTTTATTTAATACTTACCTGAAAATAAAACCTGACTAATTTTATTTTCTTTACCAATAATATATAGATTAAAGTGTAAAATGCGCTTACGCCCTTACGTTCAGGCAGTACAATAATAAGAAACAAATGTCATTGCTAACTCTCCAATATTAGTCACAAAAATCTGTTTCATAAGAGTAATGCAAAAATTTTCACAACTTATCACAGACAAATATCACATCTGCAAATAAAAGTTTCGTCATTACTTTATTATATCTAACCAGCAATGAGTCTGACATTATTCAGAGGATCCCTTATAGAATTATTAAAATATAGCTATAAATTAATTACCGTTTAAAATCATTTACCTATATCATAGAAAATATTCGAGACTTCTAGCCCACTACGTCTCTATAAACTCTGACAGCCAAGGCGGTAAAAGATTCCGAATATTCATTTCTTATCTACATGTAATTCTGATAATATCCTCTTTCCATTAGAGTGATAAAAAATAATTATTATCATAGCATATTATATTTGTTTAATTGCATCGGTAAGAAATCAAAAATATTGTTCATTCCAAAATTGATTGCAGCACTTATTACTTAATTCATAGTTTTTATTGCTAAAATTTATTGAAACCATTAAATTTTTTATCTAGATCTATATTCTATACATATGGTAAGGAATAAGAATTGCATACAAAGTGATAGTGTTGCAAGTTGTAAAGATTTAAAACTATGCAATAATTTCTAGCAACACTGCTTACACCGATATGCTTTTGTCATGAGACATAGATATATATTATTAAATACAAGTGGGTTTTGATTGTACTTGAAGTATTTTTATACATGTACTCACATTCGTTGTTGCGATACCCTCAATAAATTCAAAATCATAGTTTACATTATAAAGTCTATACATTACTGGCTGCACATAACTCATGGAAGACTAGAAAATAGAAATATAGTTTTTAGACGAAAAAGTTATAACGTAATTTCATGCAACTCTGCTAGCTGTATAGTCAAATCTTGAATTTATTCATATTCGTTTAATAATGACAAAATAACATATCAAGATAATAACTAGTGACAGGATAAACCCAATTATCATAGGAATGAATTTATTATTTTCGCGATTTTCCGAAGGCAGAGTTCATTTTCGCTTAACGCATTAATGTCGTAGTGTTCGGGCTGGCCTACGCTGATCTCGACGGAAAAATTAACGCGAACATTCGATTTTCGTACGTAATCCAACTCAACAGAGTTGTTATTGGCTTATCGGAACGATCTACTTTGCGTTCGAAGCGGCTAGCTTGATACCGTTGAAATTAAGACCTTAACGCGCAGGGATATGGTCCAGATTGGTGCGGCCCCCTCACAGACCGAGGGCGGGCACGGGCGTGTACGTAGTGGCGTTGGGCGCGCAAGCTTGCCGCACGCTCATCTCCCATGCGTCGAGCAGTTGTCCCACGGAGCAGCTCTTCGGCAATCTGCAGGCATAATATTATATTATTTATATATAGCAATTAATATAAAAGGAATTACAATAGGCGGTCTTATCGTTTTGAAAGCGATTTCTTCCAGATGACCATTGCGAAAAGAATTATTGCTAATGAGACGTAAAGAAGAGAGCAGAAGGTGGTGTACATGAATCACTTATAAACATCGGATGAAGGCATACATCAATGAGATAGTCAAAGATGTTCGGGAAAAATAGGAAAGGAGGAAAGGAGGTTGTGCGGTGCTCCTGCCCACTTAAACCGCCTGTGCTATTCTAAATACAGGCTCTTGGTGTAGGTGGTACGCGGTCGGTCCAAGGTGCGGAGGGGGGCGGTCAACGACCCGATGATGGACCGAGGGGGGGGTCCTATTCGCGACCATATCGGAGAGGGCTGCCGCTATGAGTACAGGCTCTCGGTGTTGCGGTACGCGGTCGGTCCAGGGTGCGGAGGGGCTCACCGGGCGCAGCGCGCGTCCATGGCCTGGTCGACGCGCGCGAGGAAGGCGCGGTGCTGGTCGGCGCGCGGCGTGCGCGTGCGCAGGCGCGCGGGCGCGTGCGCCGGGTAGTCGCGCGGCACCGCCACGTGCACGGCCGGCACGCACGGCAGCCGCACGTCGTCCAGCTGCGCCACCAGCGAGATGGCGCCGCTGCCGCCCGACAGCTGCATCGTCTCCAGCGACACCTGCCACAGGGGTCAAAGTGAAACCGCTCAAAGTTACGCCGGAGCGAGGCGGCCGGAGCACAACTTCCGATAAGGTCCTCGGGTGTAGTTCACTGAAGATCGGGTGAACCGTCTGCTCGTTTGGCAACTTTTCACATTAAAAAAAAAGAAGGTCTTATTGAACGTCAGAAACTACCACCGGTTCGCTAAACTGGACCGGCCAGAGAAGAACCGGCAACAAATTCTCCGGTCTTATCTTTTTGTTTTCTTTGAGTTTCTATTACTAATACTAATGCCTAATAAGAAAATAAATAATACTATTAAGTATTCTTTATTTTACTATTAAGTATTCTCAACATACCTTAAATCTTGAATCTAATCTTGCGATTTCACCTTGTAGGACATCTGGAATTTCCATCGTCGGCTCATCCAGTTTAGGCATTTTCTGAGGTGGAGGTAGATTCCTGGTAAAAATAATAAATATGTATTTTTATTATTGCATAGCAGGGGATTAACAGTAAACAAATAAAATAAAAATAAGAATATTAGGTATATAAAGGAAACAAATAAAAGGCCTACCAATACCACTTCATGATATGATATTAAAAGGTTTCTAACATTTCTAATGCTACCACAGTCTAATAAATTACTCCCAGTGCATCAAGACCATTCTATCACAGTACACGGCACTATTTTATTTAAATAATTCAGTTTTTCATGAAAAATATACATAATTCTGAGGCACCGATTTTCGTGAAGAACGTGTTACTTGCCTACCCCACGAAACAAAAATCAAAACCACTACTCCCAAAGAGAAGGTTGCAAACAAGCAAGTATTTGGATAGCAAGAGATGAAAGTCCACGGAAATCTGGAGCAGTGCAGTTTTGGGTGCATTGCTTGATTTTGAGAGGGTGTTTCGGAATTTCGTCCAACATTATGACGAATGCATTTTATAAGTATCTATCTAGGTGAGGTGCGGGGTGAGAGTATTTTCATCTTGTTTGCACTGTAATCCAGATAGATTTCCGTCTTGGTTTTTATCACTATGGACGTATATGTGTACAATCGCGAACAACGTTGTTACTCGGTTTTATAAACTTTATCTTTTTAGGGTTCCGTAAACAAAGGGTAATTTGCTGTCTGGGGTAAATGTGTCTGTCTGCCCGTCTGTATCTCATGAACCGTCATAGTTAGACAATTGAAATTTTCACAGATGAAAAATTTATGCCGCTATGACAGCAATATCAAATACTAAAAAAGAATAAAAAAATATTGAGTGTGGCTCCCGTACAACGGTGGTAGGGCCACGCAGCAGCCTCGGCTGTTGCGTGGAACGAATGGGCAGGCCCGTCCGGGTAAGTACCACGACCTCACAGAAGACCAGCCTAAAGTGGAAGTATGACAAATACTTTCGCGTTTGGTCTGGTGCGTGAGGTAGCCGGAGCCCAATTTTCAAAAGGTTGTCAACGCATCTGTAACCCTCGGGTGTAGCAGATGTCCATGGGCGATCAGGTCAACCGTCTGCTCGTTTGGCAACTCTTCACATAAAAAAAAAAACACGTGTTTTTTTTACCGTTTTATACATAATGGTACGCAACCCTTCCGAGTCCGACTCGCACTTGGACGGTTCTTTAGATACTAGGTGCTTCTCGTAAGCGATAATTCGATTTTTGCAGTCGATGAGACCACGTTAGAGACAGCGTGAGCGTGAACGATCTGGTCGTACGTACTTAATCTCTGGACCGTTGAGCGCATCCAGTGTGGAGCCGAAGGTGCGTTTGAGGGTGTGGTTGGCGAGCGGTGACTGTAGACAGTTGTTCACCACCTCCAACAGCGGATTGAAGATCTGCTCCTGCTGGATTTAACTTGTTGTTACCATACAAACACTCTATAATAAATAACGAGAATGTAATTTACTCCCAATCGGCCACATCGGAATAATGAACAGTAAAATAAACTCGTCTATAAAATATTATCTGTGGTAGGGCCATGCAACAGCGTTCGCTGTTGCACGAATGGGCAGGTCCGTCCGTTAAGTACCACAAGCTCACTCATAGAAGACCGAAGTGCAGTAGAATTGTTACACTTCTGCGTCTATCATGTGAATGTCGTAACCGGGGGCTCACTTTATTGAAAGGTACGTAGCGCATCTGCAATCGTACGGGTGTTGCGAAAGTAAAAAAAAAAAAAAAAATAAAGTTGCTACTGAAGAGCACTTGAATTCCTGTCATAGTCGATATTAAGTTTTATTTCTTAAATACGTCAACACATTCGAAGTTAACTGAAAACCTGGTAAGCCTCACCTTCCCGGTCGCCGTGGGCAGCCCCAGTCCGACGCTCTCGCTGCGTTTGAAGTCCAGCTTCTCGAGCACCACTTCGCACTTGATCAGCGTCTCCAGCGGCATCCGCTTGTTCGGGTTCGACAGGATGTCCAGCAGGTTCTTCATCTTAGTCAGCTTCTCCACGTCTGGAAGTGGCGTTTGATGTAACTTTTACCTTTACTGATGACAGCGACTAGTTGTGAATCATTAAGGTTCGTAGTGGTCATGGAAGCGTCAAGAACGCGGTGTTAGTGTCAGTCAAAATCAAAATCAAAATCAAAATCAAAATATATTTATTCAAATAGACGCTTGCGCGCTCTTATGAATCGTCAAATTTTACATCAAAGATTATGTGTATAGGTTCGTGGTGTAGTGTTCGTGTTATTTATCGACTGGAGTAATCAAATTTTATTTTATTTTTATCTCTTTCGATTCGATTCTCATTCGATTAATTGCAAGAGGCGAAGTACTAAATACTGTAGAAATAAGTAAAAATAAAATAAAGGAATATGTACAAATCTATTGTGTGCTATTAGTTGTATATACATGATCATGTTTAATTAAGAAATATTGACTAAACATGATCATGTATATACAAAGATATATGAAGGTACATTGGCATATAACATTGCGCTTTTCTAGATCTCGTAAAGTGATTGTTAGATAATAATTGATCGTGATGTCATGTAAAGTCGCATTGCTCCCGTACGTAAATATTACTTGTTGCAACGATAAGATGGTAAGTAATGGTGTATGATAATAAATAAAGTAAAGTAAAGCAACAGCCTATACATGTCCCACAGCTGGGCAAAGGCCTCCTCTATACAGAGGGTATCAGGGCATAGTCCACCACGCGGCCCCACTGCGGATTGGCGGGCTTCACATATTTTCGAAATATATTTTTTTTAATATTATTTCGAAAATATGCAGGTTTCCTCACGATGTTTTCCTTCACCGCGGAGCACGTGATAAGACAGCACTTACAGTTAAAAACTTCATTGGTGCCGAGGGATCGAACTCAGGTTGCTCGAGTATATTGAATTAAAGGCGAGCGCCCGGACACTGAGCTATCACGGCTCAGTGTCCGAGCGTAATAAATAAATATGGCTTTATAATCCTATACGCGAACCTGAAGTCGGATAGGCCACAGATGAACGAAAGATAGATCTAGACTTCAGAATTTACAGCTTGGCAGTAGATATTCCAAGATTCACTGTCAAAAAGTGCAAAAATAGGTATAACAGTTTTAGGATGGTAATGACTACTAGATCATAGTTAAAGGCTTGATAATAAGACATTGAGGATTAGACTAGTCTAAATAGAAATCGTAATCCATAATGGTGGCCAAAACGAGAGAGTAGTTTTTTTCATGGGTTCGAGTTCCAAACGAGACAACTATTTGTGTAACCCCTAGAAAATTATGAAATTGTGTTTTCTAGGTGTTTTGTCCGCGTGAAATTAATGTATGTAAAACGTCCTTATAACAGTGTGGGATAAATATAATATCGCTGATTGTTAAAAGTATGAACGCAGTTCACCATAATCATATTGTCAAAACGGAATGCAGCGCATGCAAGAGAGAGGTATGTGAGAGAACGAGAAAGAAGAACAACGGCGAATTACTTTACTGATTCACGACGAAAGGTTTAAAGATATTATCTGCTTGTTTTTGGTGCTTGAAATAAACGGCTTTAAAAGATCTCATTCATTTATTTTGCCACACAATCCCACAATGTTATCCTACAATGAGGGGGCGTTATTTTCTTCATATCTCCTAGGTCGCAGTGCTCGTTGGGACGTACTAACCGCCCACTTTGGCACCCATTAAACGAAGTACACGAGTACAACTCACTCTCGCCCTCGTTGACCATCCGCTGCACCATCCTGCGCAGCGGCTCGATGTACTTGGAGAGCTGGCGCACCTTCTCGCGGTAGACGGCCTCCTCGCCGCCGGGCGAGGCCACGCCGCCGCCCACGGGCGTGCTTCAGCGACGAGGACGGCGACGCGACCATGCCCACGCCCACGCCCACTCCCACGCCCCTGACGGTGGGAAAGACGGGTACTAAGCTGACTGTACAATCGCGCTCACATTGTTCGAGGGTATATTCGTGCTATTGACGACCCGATTGACTGTACATTCGCGCACACATGGATCGCGTGTACTTACATGCCGCCCACGCTCATGCCGAGTCCCACACCCCTGGCTGCGAGGAAGACGGGTACTTTCGTGCTCTTAACTGACTATACCTTCGCGCTCACACGGATCGAAGGTACTTTTGTGCACTTGACTAAGTGTACATTCACGTTCACACGAATGAAACGTAGACGAACTGACGTACTGTACAATCGCGCTCACAATGATTGAGGGTATTTTCATGCAATCGATGACCTGACGTATCGTACAATCGCGCACACGCGGATCTAAGGTAATTTTGTGCAAATGACGGACTGTACATTCACACTTACACAGATCGAAGGTAACTCGATCGAGGTTAGGTAACGGTAAACGGTAAAGTGCATACGTGATTCCTCACGGGGTCGTCGTAAAATGGTATACAGGGCTCACCGCTGCTGTTGGGCGTGGTGGGCCAGGTGGGCGGGCGCTGAGGGCGAGGGGCTCCCGACCCCACCGCAGGGCGCCATGCCGCCCAGCGAGGACATCGGAGACGCCAGCGCCCCGCCGAGCACGCTGCCACCTGATAAACCAACGCAAACAACTTTAACTGTAGTAGGGTAACCGTAGGTAGGCCGTAACAGTCTTAACTGTTGCACGAATGGGCAGCTCCGTCCGAGTAACAACCACGACAACACGTAAGAACGCCGTGAAGTGGGAGTGTTATACTTCTGCGTTTCGTCTGGTGGCAAAGCATTTGCAACCCTACGGGTCTTGCAAAAGTCAATGGGCAGCGGTTATCACATGTTGTGCCGACCAGACCTAGATAGGATAAAGGTAGGAAGAATGGTAACTAGTCCAAATTGTACCTGGTATTGACCAGCATCTTTTCTCATTAATGTTTTTCTTATTCAAGAGGAGTTAAAAATACTTGATGCCCGAGCCGATTGCTCCATTTGTTCGATATCGTACTTTCTCATCTTTCTAAAATGCGATAAAACACTACTATTAAAATGAAAGGACAGTCTATTTAATAGCTGCAGTCTAGGAGACTCCGTGGCACAGTCGCCAAGGTATTGGCTTCGGCGTCGGGTCGTGGGTTCGATTCCCACACGGGACAACTATTTGTATGACCCACGGATAGAATCGCATCTGGTTGCTTGTCCGCGTGAGATTTATGTTTATAAAACATCCTTACAACACATGATAATGTCACCCTACAGTAAGGGCCACGTTTTAAAAAAAAGCGCCCTTCCCCAGACCATATGTTGAAACCTTATCGGGGTACAGTACCAAGATAGGTGGCGAATCAAACTGACCCATCGAGACCGGACTGGGCCCGCCCATGTTGGGCGAGGAGGCGGACGGCGATGGGCTCTGGCGCAGGAACTGGTTGGGGGGCGGAGCCCTGGAGGGCGGGTAGCCGGCCCCCAGCATGCCGCCCCCCTCGGGCTTGTTGCCAACGCGGCCCTGCATGTGCAGCATGTTCATGTTCACCATCTGGCTGTTGCCCATGCCCCCAACTGGAATGAGAAGCGTGTACAATTGTAAGTGGAGCTGTTATTTTCGCGAGTGTTACACGTTTCAGTAATACAAATTTAAGGATTTTATCGCTATTAATTTCCATCATCATAACCCTCATATATATCCAATTTACAATAGAGAAGATGGGTATGGTTCTCCAATTTTGTAACTACATAGTTGAATGTCAAAAGATTATGAAGTTGAAGATATTCCAATGTATAAAAATTGTTACAGCACACCTGTTTGTATTCAACAGAACACTGGTATTGAACAAAGGAAAACCTAGAATCAGTAATACTGAGATAGCAACAGTGCTCACCCATTTGTCCCTGCATTTGCCCTTGCATTGAATTGGGCGCCATCTGTCCGCCCATACCGCCGACTACTTGATTGCACTGCATCTGTCCCACCATTGTGCTGGCGCCGGATAAGGGCACTTGCATGTTGTTGGTCATCGACATATTAGGCATCATCTGGCCCTGCATTCCAGGCCCCGCCAGCTGGTTCTGTAGCTGGCTGCCCATCGGATTCCCCATGCCCCCCATAGACACCATATTGTTGCCCATTTGGTTTTGATTCGGCAACATGCCCAAGCCGAGTTTGTTTTGGAGCTGCATGTTCAGCTGGGGCCGTTGATTCAAGGTCTGGAGGAGATTCGTCGCGGTCTGGGACTGCGGCCCCCCTTGAGACGAAATGGGGCCTTGCTGGCCTATTTGTGCTTGTAAACCGGCCATCCCCGGGTTCGGGCCTAGCACCCCCTGAGATTGCATCTGTCCTTGGCCCATGTTCATCATCTGGTTCCTTGTACCTTGTGAAGCGAGGTTCTGTAGAGCGTTGATTGGATCAGGGGCTAGGCCTGTTTGGCTGTTCGGTCCTTGTTGCGCTTGGCCTGGCTGCGCCTGCACCTGCTGATTTGGGCCAGACTGATTCTGGTTGGGACCTTGCATTGATCCGCCTGCTTGGTTCTGTTTCGGCTGGGCTGGAATTTTCACTGATCAGCTTAATCAATTTACATAACATTGAAATTTTAAAAATGAAAACTTTAATAAAAAGTCTATTAAGCTTGATTACATTTCCTCATTATTTACTTGCTCCCTTTCTCAATCTTATACTTTAAAATATGTATGTTCCAAACATCTTTCCAAATACAATAGATACGTTGTGTTATGTGTATACATGCCTATAACATGGATATGCCCTTAGCAGAATTTATCTTAATAGAAGTATAATATACTTACACATTTCCCTAACATGTAGTATTAGTTTTGCGACCATGTTCATGTATTCTTCCCGTGTTTTTGCCTTCATATATACATGGTTTTCCATTTCGCTACTGTTGCGCGCTACTTGCATCCCTGATCGCTGAATACACTCCTCACTAAAAGACAACAAATATTTAAAACAGAAATTTGTCTGCATAGTTGAGTCAGTGGCTAAAATCTAAGATTACATATTAATTGGTAAATGATTACTATAAGTCAACCATAGTGATGTCTCCCATTAATATTGATGGTTTTGTTTTTTTTGGTCATCAATAAAATATATGATCTTTCCTTTTTATAAATACTCTTCAGGTATTGGTATTGGAGATATATAATCCAAATGTTGCTTTAGAATAATTTCATTTTAAATGATTTGATTTACTATCAAATAATTAAATTTTATTATGAAAGTTAATAAGAAATGAGCCAAAAAGCTGCAAGTACTTAGTTGGATAGACTGTTTACATATCATTAATTACTATTACCATTCAAAATTTATCTATATTGTTGTTAATGTCTCTGGGATTTTCCATATAGCAAAGATAGGTGGGCGTAAATTATTTTTTCCGTAATGAAAATCTGTAAATATTTATGATGCATGGCAATGACAGCTTATATAACACTGAAATATGGTATAATGGGAAAAAACATTTACTCATGTAAGTTTTTTTTCTTATACTATAAGATAAGTTTTTACATAACTGTATTTTATAAAATATTAACGGGGTCACCTGCTGTTCATTCTCCTATCAAGTATTTGAAACTGTTTTTCTTATAATGTTATTACATAAATTATACATATACCGATACATATTAAATATAGCAATGGTTTAACCACTTATATAATATTGAGTCATTCATATACAGTGTTGTTACAACCGTGACAATAAATGAATACACGTCTATTGCTACTCGCCAATAATCATAAAGAAATATCAAGCGTTAAAAAAATCATAAAAAAAACTAATTAAATAAAAAATAAACAAAATCTGTAACACCCTATACAACTACAACTAACTGACTGACTTTTTCATTTGTTGCCACAACATTGCATTTCAAGTCTTTATTACATGTACTTTATTACATGTTAACATAATTAACACAGGAATGAACACTAACATTGATGGGTTTTTTAAAGATTTCAGTTTTGTGGAAAAAAAACTACTTACAACAATATTAATAAGCATAGTGATATGCAAGATGTACAGTTTAAGATGATGAAAATAAACAGAAATGGATTTCTCAAAAATAGAAGGGAACTAAAATTGGGTAATAAAAACATGTTAAAGAGACAAAAATATAAATATGTCACAATAACAAATTAACACTTCTGCGAACACAATAAATACAGAATTGTTTAAATGTATATAATTAAGTTAAAGTGATAACTTTAAGCTTTTGCTTTCAATTCTATATACTTGAACAAATCTGATTCAAATCCCGGTGCCAGCGCATTGAAAGTGTAAATTATAAGTGCTGCCTTATCACATGCTTAACGGTGAAGTAAAACATTGTCAGGAAACTTACATATTTTCGAAATAATAACAAATAAAAAAACAGATTTTGTGTACTGAGGAGGCCCTATCCCAGCAGTTGGACATCGATAGGCTGATACTTATGAAAAGTCTGCATATAAAGTTAAATTTGAGAGTTGACGGAGTATTTAACGTAAATATTTATAAACTCAAGATTTCCAAACGTTTTAAGATAAAATTTGTTGATTAAAACAATTAATGTGATCATCCACAAATATATGAACAAGCAGCATAGGTACTCACATTTTCGAGACAACGCTTTGTCGAAAGTTTGTAGTTCTCCAATTATCATCGGAGCCCATCGAGTTAAATTGCTTTATATTGTCCATTTTGTATCAAATTTCCTTACTGCAAAGAAGGTTTCACTTGTTTAACACCACACAAAATAATATGATTATCAAAACAAATAAGCACTTAAAACTCAGTGCATTTATAATTATTAATTATTATCTAGCTAGCGTTACCCGTCACTCGAAACAAATTGTCTCTTCTTTCACGACTATTGAGCGAAATGATTTAATGTTGCAATAGAAAATAAAAATTTAATTTTTTTAATGAAAAGTTAAAAAATACATTAATTACTGTTTTTTGGAATTTAGTAATAATAATTAATTCTGCAAATATATGCGGCGAGACTTTCACTAGGAGGGGAACTATAGAGCAGAACCTACTCCTAGGCTCAAAAGTCTTCGCCAGAAATCTGTCTATCGAACAAAACACCACCGCTATCTCCACTAGACCTCTTAAGTAAGATTGAGAGGTTCTATGGACAGCTGTACACATCTTCGTTGGAGCCACATATATATGGAACAAACGAACCAACAACCCAAAAGCAAAGCGGTATGGCTCTCTTGAAGAAATATAGACCGATATCCCTTCTGAGCCACGTCTACCTGCTGTTTTAACAACTTTTTTCAATGTGAAAAGTTGCCAAACGAGCAGATGGTTCACCTGATGTTAAGTGAATACCGCCGCCCATGAACATCTGCTACACCCGAGTGATCCAGATGCGTTGACAATCTTTTGAAAATTGGGCTCCGGCCAGAGGAAACGCGAAAGTATTATGCTTCCGGCGTAAAGTGTTACGCCGGTCTTCTGTGAGGTCGTGGTACTTATTCGGACGAGCCTGCCCATTCGTGCAGCAGCCGAAGCTGCTGTGTGGCCCTACTACAGTTATCTTGAATCGTCTCTCTTTCAGACCCGACGATGTCCAGCCTCCCGAACAAGCCGGATTCCGAAAACGCAGTATCATAGACCACATATACACCTTGCGGCAGATTATACAGAAGACCGAAAAATATAAGCCTTTGTGCCTAGCGTATGTAGACTATGAGAAAGCCGTCGATTCTGTCGAAATTTGGGTGGTACTCTAGGGCCTTCAGCGGTGCCAAATTGACTGTCGGTATATCTAGGTGCTGAGATGTTTGTATGAAAAAAGCTACGATGTCCGTCCAAATAGTCTAGTAGTACAAAACCTATCCAACTGCAGAAGTATGTAAGTTAGGGTGATGTCATATCCTCGAAACTCTTCACCATTGCGTTGGAAGATGTTTTCAAGCTTCTGGATTGGAAAGGACGTTGTATTAACATCAATAGGGAATACATTACTTTGCCGACGACATAGTTATCATGGCAGAATCGCTGGAGAACCTTAGTACTATGCTCAATGACCTCAACAGTGTCTCCCAGCGGGTGGGTCTTAAGGTGAGACATGGACAAGACGAAGATCATGTCTAATGTCCATGTCACGCCTATACCGGTTGTTGTTTAGAGCTGTGAGCTCGAAGTTGTTGACGAATACCTTTAACTAGACCAAATTCGACGCAACTCGGGTCGACAGCGTTCGGGAAACTTCGATATATCTTCTCGCCTAATATCTCTCAATGTATAAAGACAAAAATCTTCAACAAATGATGACCTACGGAACCGAAACGTGGTCCTTCCCTGCTGGTCGTAAGAGGAAGCTCAAAGTCGCTCAGCGGGCCATGCTCGGTATTTCTCGCCGTGATAAAGTTCGTAAAGACCGACATAGCTCACAAGATTAGCAAGTTTAAGTGGCGATGGGACGGCCATGTAGCTCGTAGGACCGATTACCGTTGATAGTTGAAAATTAATGAATCCATTTTTATTATTATCACTGGCAACTCTTTCTTATATTTATGTTATAACTGTCAAGGTCAAACTTAAGTCAACTCACAACACAACACAGCTGTCGTTACTTGTCAGGTTAATAAAAATAATGTGTTTCAGTTTGTGTTGATTTGTCACTGATTTGTTTAAATACCTATTCCTAATTCCTAATTAACATAATATCAATCAATCAAAGTGTCCTGAAAATATTTTATTTTAGTGGTTGCAAGTAGCAGCTTATGATGTCTACGTCTACGGTTTTGCGTGTTAAGAGAAGACTCGAAGAAAATCCGCAAGATGCTTTAGTACTGCTGTGCAAAAAAGTAAAAACGAATAGTGAGGAAATTGCGCCCTCTTTATTTGTATTCAGAGGAACTGTTGATAATCAGGTATTCATTTGACGCAACACAATAACATTGAAAACTAACTAAAGTATTGATTGTAAAAACAAAGAACTATCTATGATTTATAATAAAATGTAGTAAAGTAGATATATGATAGGCATTTATTTGTAATCAAAATTAAGTAAGTGTATATTGTTATAATTTATTTGTAATCAAAATTAAGTAAGTGTATATTGTTATAAGAAAATTACAAGAAACAACTCTTTGTAGGAACCATTACTTGTTAAAAGTATTGTACCTAAAGATGATGTGAAACAAAAATCTATATCCAATGTCGCAGATATCATTAAAAAAATCCGTAAAGAGAGGAAAGATGTGTCAGTTGAAAATCGTTATGAAGTGGTCAATTGTAGCAGAGGTCTGAAGGAAAATGAGAGTGACAATGAAGATCTTTTCGATTTAGTGGACTTAGCAAAGGCTAATGACAAGGAGAAAGATGTTGGCTATATTTATGACCTGTACACACCTGCTAAGCCAGATTTTGATGTTTCTATGTTGGATAATTTAGTAAGGTAGATAGATGTCTATGACTATATTTTCTAAATATTTACTTCTTTTATGTACAAATATTAAGGATTATGACTAAAAAAATTTATTTGATTACCTTTTTTTAAGTATGAGTGAACATTTTTTGGGAATCCATCCATTCAGTCATTAATGTTTCAATTTTTGTTGATACATAATTTTTTTCAATTTGAATGTGCTATTTTTGTCTTTTCTCTTCTCTTGTATCTTGTAAAATAAATGAACTGGATAAAATTAAATTTTTAGCATAGAAAACTATGAGACGGACTTGATATTTGGCTCATATAGAGACAATGGGCTGTTGCCATCAGACAATGAAGAAGATGAAGATGATGACTCTAATGATGAAAATAATTGGAGGAATGACTACCCAGATTCAGAGCCAAGCAGCATTGATGAGGATGACATGATAAAGGCAATGGAAAAGTGTGATATAGGTAAATTAAGACAACTATAATTGTGTCTTGGAATCATTATACAATGTTTAAATTGATTAAAACCCATTTTAAGACTATATTATGTCAATTCTGCTTCCATTATGGAGAGTTATATAAATTTGTTTTTTATGTTTTATGTATTATTTCATTTGAGAGTTGACAGAAAATTATGATTAATTTAAATTAGTAAAAAAGATAAAATATAGAAATAAGATAGATAGTATTAATTTTTTTATCATACATTTTTTAAAGTAAATGGAATTTTGTAAAAAATAAAAAATTAAACAAAAACTACATAGTTAATTGGCAAAATTGTGAAAATGGGTTGTTTAGTCTGTCTACCCATCTGTCTGTTTGTTCTGCCTAATCTCTGAAACGGCTGAACCAATTTTGATGGGACTTTCACAGGCCGTAATACCTGATGTAATAAGGAGTAACTTAGGCTCCTTTTATTTTAGATATTTTATTTATATTAAATTCCACACGGACAAAGCACAGCTAGTATATTATATAAAATTTGATTCTGACTTAAAATATTTTGAAAATATTTTAATTTGGTATCTAATATAAATAATAAAAAATATATCTAATTTTTTTAAGTTTTTTATAGTGCTAATCTCTGCACTTTAGATTGAACATTAAAACATGTAGAAAAAGTACGAAAAGACTGTCGCCGCTGTGGGAAGCGAACCCACGTCTTCGGCATTCGCGACCTGACGCTCTAGCCACTGAGCTAAACGGCTGATAGCCACATCGACGAAAATCTTAAAGCCTACTGTCTACATTGTTATTTAGCATTCGAAGCAATGCTTGGCGCATCTATTGTTATATCTTTTCCAGCATACAAACAATTTCGAATATCGTTTTACAACGATAATTCGAACGAGAGATGTCGCCATTGCTTTTATAAATTTTAAAGTTTTTTATAGTGCTAATCTCTGCACTTAAGATTGAACATTAAAACATATACAAAAGGATATAACAATAGATGCGCCAAGCATCTATTGTTATATTCTTCTAGCTATCAGCTGTTTAGCTCAGTGGCTAGAGCGTCAGGCCGCGAATGTCGAAGACGTGGGTTCGATTCCCACAGCGGCGACAGCCTTTTCGTACTTTTTCTACATGTTTTAATATCTAATTTCATAAAAATTTGGATTTTTTAAGTTTTTTGAAACATTGTTCTTACTTTAGGATAAAATTATCCTGTGTCGTATGGACGTTTTACATACACACATTTCTCGTAGAAAACGCCCAGATGCGAAACAATTATATCTGCGGATCGCACAAATACTTGTCCCGTGTGGGAATCTGACCCACGAGCCGCGACGCAGAAGCCAATACCTTGGTAACTGCGCGACTCGTTTTTCGTCTTTAAACCTAAAAAAATATTTATCTATCTATACTATAATAAAAGAGTAGAATCGGCGTGTCTGTACATTGAATATTTTTATGAAAAAAATGAAAAAGGGTATCATAAAAAGTGTTATAGGAAACATAAAAACCATTTTTGGAATTTTTGTCTGTCTGTCTGTGTCTGTTAGCGATAAACTTGAAAACTACTTATCGGATTTTGATGCAGTTTTCACTGGTTACTTAAGCAAAGCTTGGGGCAGGACCTAGGCTTTGTTTCATCTCAATCGGTTCCCTCAAACGGGAGATATGGGAGTTTTAAGATTAAAGCAGTGCAGTCGCAAACAGTTATCACAGTTATCTTACTACTGGACTAATTTTTATGGTGTTTTTGAAAGTATTTTTGTAAGTATTCAAGATTTATTCTGTGCAACATTAAAGTTTTGTTTTATTGCAATTGATTCACTAAAAAAAAAGCTAAGGAATTAGTTCCCATGCAAAAACTAGATGGCGTTGTTCTTCATAAAATGCGCTATTTACATACATATTTTCACAAGTTTATTAAGGGACAAGTGCCGAACAATTGCATTTTAATAATAATAATGCGAATTTCTTCAATTGAGATTTATACGATAGGTACGATTTTAGTTTTGCTCGTTCGCGTACTCGGCGGGCCAAATGTAGGTGGCTGCAAATTAGTGGGGTCTTTTAAAAGCGTTGCTTGCCTTTGGCCTTTAGCTTCTTTGCGTAGGCGATATTCCATGAAAATTATAACAAATCAAGCGGGCCTGATAAGTAGGTACCATTCGTCGGGTCCATAATGTCATGTATTAGTACTTTCTTTGTTTAATTTTTTATGCCTTCCAGCGAGTCTTTTCTCTTAATCTTTAATGAGCCTAGGGCCAGCAACGGACAAATCTGTCACTGTTTAGGAATAAAGATTTGGTTAGGCTAGGATATTCGGATATTATTTTGCTTTGTCGTTTGGAAATTATGTTTGTTTTTTATCAATGACTCACAAATTGTATCTTTTTTTTTTGTAAGCAAGATACTTATTTTGTAGTACTTTCTAAATCATTGAATTTACCTTTTAGTATTTATTACAAAAATGCCTCGATAGAATTTAAAAGAATGAGAACGATTTGATCTCAAAAATCTAATGAAAACCAAACACGACTTAGTGCTGATACCCATTTCGCCATAGACACCATTCATTATCTTGCACATTGGAGTCAGTTATATGTTAATTCGCGAATACCACTCGCTAGATCACTGACCATTGCGCAGTTGTCAAGGCATTGCCTTCGGCGTGGGTTCCATTCTCACACTGGACAATTATTTGTGTGACCCACAGTAATTGTTTCCCAGAAGGCAAAACTATGAATGTGGTATTTAAAGTGATATTTTATTGTACACTAGCTTTTCGCCCGCGGTTCGGCCCGTTATGTACCACATTTTATATCGTGCTTAAAAAGTAGCCTTCCGCAATAAATTGGCTATCCAGGGGCTAAACGGGCCAGTAATAGCCAGTATTTGGGCTAATATTAGTGAGTTCAAACAAACTGATGCTAACTAGATTGCTAGCATCTGTTTGATACATGTATCTCATAAACTATGATATTTAGACAATTGAAATTTTCACTGTTGACGCTATAACAACAAATAAAGTAAATAAGAATATTTTTTTTAAGTGGGGCTCTCATACAACGGACATAATTTTATTGCCTTTTTTATAGATTATGGTATGGAACTCTTCGTTCACGATTGCGACTCGCATTTGGCTGGTTTTTAAATTTATATAATCTAACAATCATCATCATTTTACAGACCATAATATAATTGTAGTTAACTATAGTTTTATCCAATTCAGCTGTAGCGATTACTTTTTTTTTAAGTTGATATAAAATTTTTATTTATGAACCGATTTGAATAAAACTAACACTAAATGTTAAGTGAAGTACTACAATGCATAAGCGAAGTTGCACCCAAATCGGTTAAGCCGTTTCCGAGATTACGCGCACAAACGCACATACACATGGACAAAAATTTTAACAACCATTGTTTTGCGTTCTATTGTGTTTATAAAGGAGGATCTTTAATAATAGTTTTTCTCAAATATCTTCCGTGTACCGACAAACTCGAGTAACATTTTTATTATATGTCTGTATCTGTCTGAATTTTTCGCTTTCATCCTAACCTGTAGTCGGGGGCAACAGCTAGTTATAATAATAATCGCTATTTTCCTTTCTAAAATTGTTAACCCACATGTCTGCACTAGTGAAGGTGCTTTTCAAATGAGGGGCATACTTTTGAGATGCTCTGTATTGAGAAGTCTCCCTTGTCTTGTATTAACTGATGTTTTTGCTTTCAGTCCCGAGACTATTAAAGCTTCATCTGACGCAGAACCGGTGGGCTAGCCGGAACCCACGGGTTTGGGCCCTCCGCTGTGGGTAGGGCCGCGCATGTGCTCATGCGTGCGTTTAACTACGAAATGTCATCTACTACGAAGGGCCATCGAAGTTGCGGTGCGGACCGAGACCCCGATGGCCGTCGACTGTGTTTTTAGCTAATCGGTGGCTGGGGGCGGTGAGAACCGCCCTGGAACGCGGGTGTACCTTGTGTACGCGTTGTGTTGGTCTCGCCGTGCTCGGAGGCGAGGGCGAACTAGTGTGTTTGTTGTTACACTAGCTGTGGGTGTAGTGTTATCCGGCGGGACCCCCGGCGGTGGGTCCGGAAGTCTCCCTCGGTCCCTGTCACTGTTAGGAGCTTCAGTGTTAACATTTCGTATTTTCAACCAAAAAGGAGGTGGTTCTCAATTCGACTGCTTTTTTATCTTCGTTACCTAATGACTTTCGACTGAGTGAATCGATTTTCATAATTCTTTTTTTATTTGAAAGCCGGTGCTTCCCATGTGGTCCCATATTAATTTCATTGGTATTAGATCTTGGGCTCCGGAGCTACTCGGGGAACTCCTGAAAATCTATTATAAAATGTAAACAGAGCGAGATATTTGAAGTCTGTTTTATTTTTCGTTGGTAAAAAAGTTGACTTTTTTCAGATGACGATTTATCTAGTGACACAGGCGAAGACAAGATCTATAACGACCCACCGGATATTTTCAACGAAGACGTCAAACGATACGGCGCCGCCTACGCCGAATACAAAGCCAGAGTGATGTCAATGGAGCCAGATCAATCAGACTGTAGAAGCCTCGTCGTCTGTACGAGGGTGAAAGATTTGGATGAGGAGTCAATAGAAGGCTACAAAGACGACAGCGATGATGGGTTCTACTATGGCCAGGAAGAGGACTCGAAACAGTTCCGAGAGCAATACGATCAGGACCTATCTGATGAGTACAGTCCTGATTGAAATAGTATTTTCATTTTAATTATTAAATTCAGATTTGTATTGGTATTAATAAACAAAATTCCGATGTACTTGTCTTATTTTGCCTCCTAAATTAGATTATCTATGTTGTATTGATTGTTAAACAAACAAGTCTGGAGCACTGCCCTTGTTGCCACATACCCGATGGGAATCGTTGTCGTTGATATATCGAGCTGCGTTCAATTTTATCATTTATTTTGAAGAGAAAGCCAAGTTGGGTTTTAAAGAGCTCGTTTTTTTGAGCGAGACGTATTATTACCGGCCTATCGCTTACAGCTATAAATCACAGATTAGGCCGCGCATAGAATACTGTTCTCATCTCTGGGCTAGGGCACCGCAATACCAGCTCCTATTTGTCCTCCTCCAAAGAAAAATATTTCAAACCGTCGATAACCAGGTTGTGTCCGCTGTGTGTGAGAAAGTGGTAGGTAAACGACCTGGCGGTTTACCTGATATTCATTGATAACCGCCGCCCGTGGATATCACCCGTAGTTGCAGATGCCACCTTTTAATAAAGTGGAGGATATTATAGCAAAAAGAATGAACCATAGAGTTTCCAATTCTTTTTTAAACAGGTCAAATGAGGTAAACCAGTGCTAAGATTAAAAGGTGTGCCTCAAGAATAAATATTTTTTTTAATTGTACAATACAATCTTTATTTTGTATCACATTGCTATTATTCCATTTTATTATTCTTTTATGATGTTTTAAAATTTCAACTTCCAATGGAAATTCTGGTTTCAACTATATTTACAATTAGGGACGGGAAAAACTTTAAATTAAGACACAGGACTGTTAATATGTGATAAATAATTTATTGTCTGGCATATTTTACAATATCAATGTATGTCTACATCAGTTTACGTGTATTATCACTTTACCCAACATCTTATGATTAATTCATTTAACTGTTGCATTCGCGTAACGGTAAAGGTTTTGCATTAGTTGGTAAGAAAAGAAGGGCGATTAAATATCAGATACTAGAAAGAGATGGCAACATTAAACGTAAGAAGTGCTTTCTGCAGCTGGAATATATTTCAAGTGGCGATAATATACTGGTAGCCGTGCTCAGAGACGTCAATTAGCCCTAAACTATAATTTCATTACGTATAAAATAGTCTTAATTTGTATTGAAGACTGAAGCCCGCAACTTTCACTTTAGTTGTAGTTAGGCTAATTGAGGTATTAGAGTGCGGCTGTTAGGTTTCCTTATTTTAGCAGAAATAGACATTTTTTGGATACAGAAAGAATGCATCCCATTCTTTTTTCGTGGTAGTCATAACGTAATAATTATTAGCATTGCGTATCAATAAAGTAACCACCCTTACTTTCTTAAGCAAGATGCCTTTACTCCCGAACGGGAATGATTAGTTACAACACATTGCCAAAATTTTATTCGAGTCTTGACCTTTAAAACTATTTTAAATTTAACACAGCGATATGGCACATCACATCAGATGCATGTTTCGCGTCATTGCTGAAGATTATTAACATTAATGTCATGATGGTTTACGTCTAAAACATGTGCAGTTGAGGATAAAACTGTTATTGAAGTCATTTTAGTAAATAATAAATTAATGCTTATTATTTATTTTAACAGCAATTTCTAAGAAATTTATGAGATTACGGACAAGTTAAACCGTTCTTAGATAGTATCGTCAACTGCACGTTGTTAACATTCACGTCATTATAATCAGAAGATTAACAATAACCTCACTTGTAACCTTCGCACGTTGCGAAGTGAAAATTCGAGACTTATTCCAAACATCAACGGTAGGACAAACACAAATGAATACACAAATTTATATGTAAATCTACGGAATAAGTCTTGTATTCACTTAATTCTACAGTTATAATTAGTGAGATACCTATAAATGCAAATTACAATTACTCTAGCGATGCTTTGGCATAGACAAAACATGGTATTTTTCATAATCTTCTAACGAATGCGGGAATCATTACACTTCTATGCGATAAATTCAATTGGTTAATATTTTTTTTATAGAGAATACATTTATAGAATTGTATTTGACGTTATTTAACATTGAAGCAGATTTAACTCGGTTACACTTAAAGGAAATCCGTTCAAATTTATTATAAATGTTACATTTTTTTAATTCAATTAGCTAAGAATGATAAAACAAAACAATGAGTTAGGACTCTATATGTCGTAGTGTGTACTTAATTTTCGAGGAATAATGTTTGGAAAGTTAATGCAGTATACTGTCAAACGTGTTGTGGTTTATTAAGCACTGGTAAGTGATTAATAATTTCGATACGAGAATTGAATTGCTATTTAAGGGTAGATAAAGTTCAACCTAAGACTAATTATTAATAATAAACAAAATTAACAACAAAGAAAGAACATTTACTTAGAACAAATGGTAATAAAATTTAATTACGACGCGATAATATCTTTACACGTATTTACAGTTTGGTATTTTAACGTATACTAAAACAAAGTCAAAAGTGGTTTAGTTTAGTGATTTACATAACAAGTTTAATAACAATATCCAACCGTGGCCTTTTATTTACAGTAGCCGAGATTTTAATCGTTCATTCGGTCACCCATGCATCCATCATTCACATTCAATTTCATTTTAAATCGATTTGAAATGTCAATACTTACGTGAATTTGGCATTGATATGCAGTTAGTTTCTTATTTTTAATTTCTTTAATCAGTTTATATTATTGCACATAATTCATATATTAATCCGAAATGAGAGGATACAAATCTTATCGATCTATTTTATAATTAACAAGAAAGACAATTTTGAAGCAAATTTAGCATTTTTCATATCGTTTTAAGTGACAATTTATTGCTCCAAGCATTGAGCCATTTGAAATATCTAGTCAAATATAGCAACAAAGTTGAGGATAATCATTTTTCATTATTGTAGAATATTACGAAGTCATCTTGAGGCCTTTGCAGATACTCAGTCATAATTACAAGGAAACGTGATATAAGTGAATATCTGTTTTAAATAATGATAAACACGTAAAGAACGTTAGCAATTTTGATTTTGATTACTTACTCTATGTTATTTTTGAACGTTATCCTAAACTTTGTAACATTCCATCCGTACTGTCTGCGTATTTATAGTACGGTTGTGTCATTGACTCTGGCGGGCGGAGGCGCGGGAACGTTGTTGTTGGCCGACGCCTCCTGATTGGCCGCGGTGCAGTAGAACTGCTTGTGCGCCTTGTATGTGTTGACGTATTTGAACGAGATGTCGCACGACTTGCAGTAGTTGGGGGTCTCTTCGGCTTCCGCGTCGGGCTCCTTCTTTATGTCGACCGCGGGGACTGGCGAGGTGTGTTCCTCGGGCTCGGGCTCCTCGGTGGCGTGGACGAGGCGCGCGTGCCTGACCACGTTGCCCCGGTACGTGGACGTGTAGGCGCAGCTGCCGCAGCGGTGGACCCTCTCGCCGCCCGCCGCCGCGCTGGGAGAGGTCGCCTCGCGGCTGTCCTCCTCGAGCACGCACGATATGAAGCTCTCCTCCTGGAAAAGGGGAATGCGAAATTAAAAAAAATTACGTTGATCACTCGTCTTTTAGTTGCACAGTTAATCGACGCAGTTGCTTCGGTACGCGGGAGTAGCATGTCTACGACTTTATTGGTGTACCCAAAAATGTGTACATCCAATTATGTATTGCAGCACATTCAATCGAAAGATAAGGTTGGCTCAATAATGAGCTATTCCGGGATAAGTCACACATAGTTCGAAACATTAGAAAGACATTAAATTATTAAAATTATAACTAAATTTCATGAATTTCGAAAAACAGATGTATTTATCAAAGGGGTTAAAATTCGTTTAAGCGGCAGCAGAGGGGCGGTATTGGCAGTAAATAAATTTAATTCTTATATTAAATTGTCAGTTATCGATTTAGTTTTTGTAAATTGGGTTATAAAAACGAATGCTTCGCTCATAACTATGGCAAATGTTAAACATTTTATTCAGCACGCTCTGAACTTGTTCGTATTTGTATGACCTGAGCCAGACCTCATATATCGGTGCCGGCATTGAAGAAATTAAAAAAAAAAACAAAGATAATTTATGTTAAGTTCACGAATCAACAACGGAGGGCAGACGTCCATCACATGACAAGTTAAGAAGTTTTAATTTCTGTTGAAGATTACTTTACTCTTATTTTCTACTATGTAATTTTAAGAATCAAATCAAGGAATCTAACCTGCAGATCGGATGGCTTCTCCCGGAAGTGCATTCGTATATGTGTGCGCATTCCCCGCAGAGTGTTTCCCCTGTAGCGGCAAATTGTGCACCGGAATGCCTTCACTCCGGCGTGAGCCTCCATATGGCGTTGGGCGGCCACCGCGGTGGGCGACACCACATCGCAGCAAGGGCACTTCCAGCCACCTTCGGGCCCCGACGCGGGCCTAGTCACTTCTGGCACGGTCCGAGGCGACCTGGTCTCTCGCTTCGTGCAGTAGTACGATTGGTGAGTGGTCAAGTTGTCCAGCGAGTTGAAGTGTATACCGCACGCCAGGCAGATGAGCTGGCGGTACTGGGGCGGCGGGCCCGGCTCCGGTGGCGCGGGGCTAGCACGCTCATCGCCGCCGCCGGCCGAACAGTAGTTCCGTTTATGGACTCGATAGTTCTCGTATTTGCAGAACACGATGTTGCACTCCTTGCACTTGGAAACTCCCTGTTTGACTAAAACCTGAGGGGACGCGGGCGTCACTGGTAGTTCGGACGCGAGGCGCAACGTTAGGGCCGGCGGAAGAATTGCCGGTGGAACTAGCGGGGGGAATTTGTCCTCAGGCGGCGATGGAACGCTTGGCGGTTTCGGAGTCGGGCCACGGGAGTTGCGACGCCGTCGCTTGGGCGAGATCTCCCCGCTGGGCGATGAAGACCGTCTCGAAGGAGAGGGTGTTCCCGGAGAACCCGGTAAAGATGGCGCACACACGATTTGCTCTGGTGTGGTAGATCGTATTCTATTCTCTTTCTCTTGCTCATCCGGTGGTCCCGACTCAGGGGAGCGTCTCACGCTAAGATCTAAGGGGGTTGCGCCGTCTCGCGGTGGGTCCCGCGGCCTGTTTGCCGATTTCAAGACCTCGGACTCTTTTCCGTCTGTGCTCATGCTTGGCAGAGCTCTACTTAGCGGTTGAAAAGTACCATTCGGTAACAGAAAACACGGCGTTTCGGGATCGGGCAGAGTGGAGCCGGGCAAAGTGCTCGCACTTCTTAGCAGCGAATAGGGAACGATTAGAATTGGATTTGTTGGTAATGCGAGTGCATACTGGTTCTGTGCGGGCGGCGTGGCCCCAGGGGAAGGAGGGGCCGAGCCGGACGTCGCCGAACCTCCCCGCGCCGCGGCCAGGACTTGTTTCACCACTTGCCTCGTGCTGCAATAGTAGGATTTGTGGGCTCTGTACGTTTTGATAGAGCTGAATCGAATATCACAATCGGCACAGTAACGTTCCGGCGCTGGTGGGCCGTCGGTTACCTCTCCGTTGGACGTTGGCTGTGGCGTTGGCGTACCACTGTTGACGGGTGACGACGAGTGCATGCGCATGTGCCGATTCAGGCTCACTTTTTTGTCAGCGCTGTAGGAACAATACGTACAGGCGTATTGTTTTCCGGGGGGTCGGGGCGTCTTCGCCTCGCTGCTAGATTCGTCTGCTGCGGCGTCAGTAGGTGTCTCCGTGCCGTCCGCCGGCTTGGCACGTCTATGTGAACAATAGTGTTCCTGGTGCGCTTGGAGTGTGCTAAGTGAGGAATATCGGATACCGCACGGCTTGCAGATGTATATCGGAGGGGTGTTCGCCGGTAGCAGAGCAGGGAAAGCAGCCGCGGTCAGGGCTAGGTACTCCCTCGCTTGCGGAATCGGCGGCGGCGGCGGGGACGGGGAAGGTGGTTCGCGTTTTAGGGGCGTCGCTTGTGGCGCGAGCGCTGGGTCCGTCGCGAGGCTGGCGTTGAGGCGTAATCTCGGCGGAGAGGCGGCGGGCGAGCTCCCAGAGGCGGGCGAATCGCCTCCGCTGGACGCCGCCTTCTCTCCCCCAGAGCTCGGCGTACGAGGTTCCCCAGGCATCGCCTCGCTCTCGTTTCCCCATTCCTCGTCCTCACCTGTAAATAAACACCTCTATCTCAAAACGTCGAATAACTTGGCGAGATATCTCGCGCGTTCGCAAATGGAATGTTGAGTACTAGAACAAAAAGATTCTGCAGTATCTGTTCCTATTAGCGTTGTTAATAGCCAAGTGATGGTACGTTGGCAGCGGCTCTCCCGCGATAGCAGTCTCTCGTCACGTTTCCGCTGCTATCTATCGACGTCAGTCAGATCGGGGCTCGTGCAGTCGAGGCATACATTAGCGCTCCTAATTGAGACGTGCTCGCGGTATGTAAATGTCGCGGCGTGGGTGGGGCATTGCTCCTTCGGTTACGCGAAATGTGAACGTTCAGCGGATTTGCAATAAAATTTCAGGCAACCGCTGAATTCGTCAATACTCCGCGAGAACTGCAATGTTCGTCATTCAACATCGCGGGCGTGAGCGTGCCCTCTCGCCGCGGCCAAACAGAACAAAAACTTAACGGGCCCTCATGTAATTGGATCTGATTTCCAGAAAACGCTCGCTCACCTTCCTTTTTGAGCGACAACGATCTCGGCCCGGCGAGGAATTAACCTATCTTTCGCGCAGCGATCTCAACTCAAAACGCCAATTAATGAGAGGCTCAACTTCATTCTGGTGCCCCTGTGAAGATCATTATATGGGCACGACAGGGAGATGGACGCGGCGATTGGCGCGCGCTGCGGCCGCCATCTCGCGGTAACGAATACGACTCGAATCCGATTGCTTTCGGGTCACGCTATCCTAGTAGGCGCGCGGTCCGATTGGCCGCCACGATTCGTGGCTAACGCACGATTGGCCAGGCTAATGCGTTCCGTCCGGCGTTTTAACGTTGGCGTCATACCGAACGCGGTTTTATCGGTTCGTTAGCTGCGTTCGAGGCTCCCGTTTAAGCTAAATAAGTCATAACTTGTGATCGTTGGGAAAGGTTGAATGTTCAATCAGATAGATGGCGTGACTCGGTGTCGTTTAAGCGCTGCTCGCGAAACCGAACGTCGATTCGTTAAATGATATTCATCTGGGCGCTTTTGTCTTTATAAACATGTCAAATAATGGCGGCCTCGATGGTCGCGGTATGGGGGCGAGCACGCAACTCGCGAAAATTATTTCGTTTAGAGCTTTAAGCACCCGCATAGCTGTGACTGGAAACTAGACGGCGCGATAGTGGATTGTTACGCGCCCTTTACTATCAAAGGAACGCTGTAACGTATTTTGTTGCAATTCACAAGGCGCTGTTCTGTTTTGTATTGTGCAATCGATAAAAGCTTTTCGAATTTAGACCGTTGTAAAAGATGTTGTTAATTGTATTAGACATTGACTTAACTATATTAGACAGTATTATCCATTAACATTGTTTTTAGCTCTTACTATTAAAACTCTCAGATAATTATATAAGTATTATTATTTTTCCTATGCAAATTATTGGTAGGTGAAATTTATGACATCTTTTTCTGGTTTAAACCTATAAATATTTAGACTTACAATCCTTATAATGCAACTGAGGATTTCAATAGTATAATTTGTAGAAAAAATGGACGAAAAGTTTTTAAAGGTTAACCACCTTCCAAAAGAGCGTCCAAAAGACATTTTTTTCTACTAACTTTAATGTTTCACCGGTGCAGAGATTGCAACTGATTCTTTATTTGTGGTAGGGCCACGCAGCAGCCTTGGCTGTTGAAAGAATGGGCCGGCTCCTCCGGGTAAATACCACGACTTCATAGAAGACCGGCGTGAAGTGAAGTGGAAGCGAGTAGGGTAGCCGGAGCCCAATTTTCAAAAGGTTGTCAAGAACAGATGTCCATCGGCGGCGGTATTCACTTAACATCAGTTGAACCGCCTGCTCGCTTGGCAACTTTTCACATAAAAAAAAAGAAAAGAGCTTAGAATTTTGCAATTCTGTTAAGCCAACATATTGTTAAATCCAATATGTATGACACACAAAAACGCACCAAAAACGAAGCGCGAACCGTGAGCGTGGAACACGTGCCTACACTCAGAAAAAAAATCAACACCGCCATCTTGTCCTTGCGGTTATCAGATGGAAGATCGACGCCCAATTAAAATAGTTGTGCATCGGTCCCGTCACTATCGCGACGATACGAATCTGTTGCTTTGACGTTCACTGACCGATCACATAGTTCTCTCGACCACTCCTACCCTCGATTACGAATACGTAGCAAGATATTGAATGATAACAATCAATTTTGTGGCCAAGGTAAGCTACAAATAAAATATACTGGATAATCTTTAAGATTCTATCCAAAAATACAACATACCTACCGGCATGTATGACGGAAAGACAAAGTGTTGTTGGTGTGGCATTCTAAGGGGGAGGCCTATGCCTTTAATTATTGTGTGATTATTTAGTATGTACCAACGAGTCGCCTCACGTTTGTAATGTTCAACAGTAAATATGTTACAATTTTAATGTCGATAATAAAGATATGGTCAGTCGAACATTCCTTTTACGTTATGTTAGATAACAAAGCTGATCCATGCTCACCGTATCATAAATCCGTACATAATACATATAGTTTCTTTTTACTGTTCGAAATATATATGAATAACTTAAAAACATTTTTTTTTAATTTACTCATACTTATATAATCTATTTTATTCATAGTTATTTTATTCATAATGTTTAGTCTATATGCAATATCAAAATATTAAATCAAGATCGATGGTAAAACAGCTTATGTTTCCACTTAAATTTTAAAGGTTGTATCGGCGAAGACAAAAGAATATCTATGCTCTGTCGACTTAACGTCAATACCAATGTTACGCGCGCCATTAGTACAGATAAAAAAAAATTGAGAAAAGCCACAAAGGGTTGAGTGACAAAGACGACATAGATTATCGTGGCGGCCATCTTGATTTATTTGAATGCGTTGTGTAAGGAAGTTGCGTTCATCTATCATATGCCCGTCGAGAGGCGTTATCCACAATATTATCGCAAGGTGTTTAATAAGGGTGTATGAAGGTTTATTCGGACAATCGTTTTTGGTCTGTCAGTTCTTGTTTCTTCTACTCGGTAGCGGCGCAGTAGCATTTTTATCGACACAAATTGGACCGAACAACTTTTTATACAAATTTGCATTTATATTACAGTATTTTATAACAATACACTACCAAGGTCCAGAAAAAGCAGTAAATTCAATATTCTGATATAAGTCTGCTTATGAAAGACAATAATGAACACAAATTAAGTTGTACCCATATTGGAATGCTTACTAATATTTATTAGAAGTTCAGGTAAGCTTTAAAACAGTTTTAAACCAAGTTGTATTCGTGTTGCGTTTGACGTTAATATGGTAACACCGATGGATGCCTTCGCCAGATGTAGCAAAAAACTGTGAGGCGGGTATCGCGAGACAATCGGCAGCGTGTCCGCGTCGGACGCACGTCGTGTGTCACGATCGGACGTGCATTAACATATTATCGCGGGTTCGATTCCGCTAGCCATTTGCGACTAGCAGAATGGCGGACTGTCGCGCGTTCATTGCTTCAGACATTCAGCCAATTATTCCTCGAGCAATAACTATTAAGCGAAAGTTAATACAAATATTTGCTTTCGCGGTCATTATAATTGATACAGCGCAGGAACAATTTTATTTGGTAGAAAAAAGGGTTAACATTCTTCCGCTGTCTATTGCAATATGGTTTATCATTTCTTCGTTGAATATTTTCTCGCTTTCAAGTAAGTAAGATATTATGATTTTCATAATTAAATTATATTATCACACTAAAGACGAATGATTTGAAAATCGTGTTGTTATTATAATTTGATCATGTATCACAATTTTTCAAATTGATAAAAGTGATGTGATAAAACTGCACGGCAAGACATGAGCACGGCGGTGCGCAAAATTCATTAAGTGCTCAGCGCGCAAAAAACCACACCGGCTCGCGGCGGACACCGGCATGGACGTGGAACCAACAAAAACATCGGACGACGAAGAGCTAGATAAACATTTCCCCGTACCGGCCACGTCCTGTCCCAAGGAATAAATCTTGATGTCTTTGCAACGGCGATAGCGACGGACCTGGCAACACAGGCAGCTGATTTATCTGCCATCTATAATAAAAATATACTGTATTGTTTATGGCGTTGGCTATTCATATGATACTTGTATTTTTTTGTGTGAGATTCGGTTGGGAACGTCGGTGTGATCGAGTGGGCGATAAGAATTGGGAATCAATGGTTGGATTTACGAGAATTTATTTAATTTAACGTTGTAGTATTATTAAACTCACATTTAATTTTTAGTAAAAAGTCGGTTTAAGTCACACGATCAAAATGTTTTTAACGTTAAACCTTTAATACGATTTTCATTAACTACTTTAACAGACAGCAATTAAGTAACGCAATTGTAACATTGTTAATTGTTTTTGCTCTGTGTCCATTACACGGCCTAACCTAGTTTTGGACGTGGAATAAAAAAACCAACGCCCAACGCAACCCTCTCTTTAACAAACGAGTGGTTGTAATCGTTCTTTACAATCTTTCTCTACGTGTATGATTGATGTAGACCGCGGGTTAATATTCATGAAGTGTTACCACATGTAATTTGTGTCAAGATGTGGGAAAAAACAGGTGGAGTAAAGCATGTCGGCTGTGTTTGAAATGTGGCGTTAATTCTCTTCCTAAGCCGTGATTACAAAATACGCGATAGGTCAATAACAACATAAGAAACAATAGAAAAGAAATCATTCCAGCCTGTATGCATACCCTCAAACTAATTTATTTATGTTTGAATGCGGACATATTTATTTTAGGTTCAAGCCCGATAAAATAATTTTCTAATTTAAATAACAAATATTATTGTTTTTTTATTACTATTCTGAGTTCTCTTAATAATATACCGTAACGTTTACACTGTTGTACGATTGGGCAGGTCCGTCCAGGGAAGTTTCACGACCTCACAGAAGAAAGAAGCCTGATGAAACTGTATTTTTATATATTAGAAGATGGAAGCTAACAGGCGTTTCACCGGATGTTAAATTATAACCGCCGCCCATGGACATTTGCAACACCCGTTGGGTCGCATTTGCGTTGACACCTTGAAATAAAGTGGCCTCCGGCTAGACTCACCAGACGAAACGCAGAAGTATAACACTTCCACTTCACGCCGGTATTCTGTGAGTTCACGGTACCACTCCGGACGGACATTCGGTGAAAAGTCAAAGGCAAAAGGGACAGCGACCTGATGCCAGAATTTAAACATTTTGCTGCGTAATTTATTGTTCTCCTTGCTGGACAACAAAGTAAGTCATCGAAAGCCGTTGCAGGCATTCCCTGTAGCTTTAGGCCTGTATATTTCAGTGTCTAAGTGAGGTGTACGCGCCCACTGTGGGCCAGTAATAAACGAGTGTTCTCACGCAACGTTTGTTTCCTTTCAAAGTCTATACATATTATTGGCAAAGAGTAGGTTTTATATCTGGCCCACGGTTGGCGCGTACACCTCACTAATCCACTTTTTCTGTTCCGACGCCTCAATATATATTGGTAAGATATAAAGTAAAACTAAAGTATCAAATATAAAATATTCTATGCTTCCTTCACTCATAACAAAGACTCATGTACGTCTAAAGTTAAATAGCGAGTTCTAGAGAATGGAAAAAAATAATGCCGTAATTAATACAACTAAATTTAAATTAAATTAGAAAAAAATTGCCAATTACTGCCTTGTTGACTTGTGAGTTACAAAAACGATTGTATTAGCTTCCTCCACCGTTATCGTTATACGATCATAGTGCGCTGTAATTAAATTAATTTGAATTAAAAGGTTAGTTTAATGCGCGGCCATTAAAAAAAACTGGGTCGCCTCGGATCGTGTTAAAT